CCTCAACAAACAAAAAGCAAATAATCCAATTAAAAAATGGTCAGAGTTGCTGAACAGACAGTTCTCCAAAGAAGAAATTCAGATGGCCAACAGACACATGAAAAGATGCTCCACATCGCTAGTCATCAGAGAAATGCAAATTAAAAGCACAATGAGATATTATCTCACACCAGAAAGGATCGCCACCATCTAAAAGACAAACAACAACAAATGTTGGCAAGGTTGTGGAGAAAGGGGAACCCTCCCACACTGCTGGTGGGAATGTAAATTAGTTCAACTACTGTGGAAAGCAATATGGAGGTTCCTCAAAAACCTGAAAATAGAAATACCATTTGACCCAGGACTTCCACTTCTAGGAATTTACCCTAAGAATGCAGCAACCTAGTTTGAAAAAGACATATGCACCCCTATGTTTATTGCAGCAGTGTTTACAATAGCCAAGAAATGGAAGCAACCTAAGTGTCCATCAGTAGATGAATGGATAAAGAGGATGTGGTACATATACACAATGGAATATTATTCAGCCATAAGAAGAAAATAAATCCTACCATTTGCAACAACATGGATGGATCTAGAGGGTATTATGCTCAGTGAAATAAGCTAGGTGGAGAAAGACAAGTATCAAATGATTTCACTCATCTGTGGAGTATAAGAACAAAGAAAAAACTGAAGGAACAAAACAGCAACAGACTCACAGAACCCAAGAATGGACTAACAGTTACCAAAGGGAAAGGGACTGGGGAGGATGGATAAGAAGGGAGGGATTGGGGTGGTGGCGGGGAATAAGAAAGGGGACATTATGATTAGGATGTATAATGTGGGGGGGGGGCACAGGGAGAGCTGTACAACACAGAGAAGATGTGTGATTCTACAGCATCTTACTACACTGATGGACAGTGACTGCAATGGGGTATATGGGAGAATCTAGTAAACATAATATTCCTCATGTATTATAGATTAATGATACCAAAATTTAAATTTAAAAAAAAGAAGAAACTTGTTAATTTTACCAACATTAGTAGATTTATACCCACATTGAAAGGCTGCATGCCACCAATTAAATCCTGAATAAAAATAATAAAGCAAAAAAATAGAATAGAATAGCCATGTTTTCTAGGATGGGTGTAGTATTTAAGAATATAGACTCAGAGCTTTGATTACATAGAGTCAACGCCAGTTTCTTTGGCTTACTAACTGTCATATTGGTAGGGATGCTCCTTGTATAAAACCAGGGTAAAATTCACATTCTATTGAATATTGTATACTTAGGAATATGAATTGTACTTGCAAACATTGTAAATGATGGATACTTTCCTGTTCTGTGACTCAATAGTTTCAATTGTAAAATGTATAAACTCATAATACTTATCTTTTTAGGTTGCTGGGAGAATTAAATAAGGATTACATACATGTAAAGAGTTTAGTTAAGTGCCTGGAATATAGGATGTGTTTAATTATTAAGCATTATTAGTAAATGCTGCCCCCATTAGTGAAATAAATACAGATCATCAGGTTCAAATCTTCCCAATTTTTCTTTATACCATCTCCAGTCTTTCCTTATTTAATATTCCAAGGTTTCATAGGAAGGCCTACTCTCTGAATTTCCAGTTGAGATCACACATGAATAGTGACTGAAATATCACTGTAAGTGTCATTTTATTTGGTATCACAAACTACCCTCTATTTATGTGCCTTCTGTGTTAACAATATTTGCCGTGAAAAGTCTAGATTACGCTCAACACTTTTGGCATATATGAAATACTTGGGAATATCTAATCTCTAACCTAAATATCCTTGACATGTGTGAGTACACACACACACACACACACACACACACATGCCTGTTTGGAAGCACTTTTAACCAAAAGTAAATTATATTGACAAAGAATGATAGTAGAGGACTCATTGGTGGTGAAAATGGCCCATGCTACCAACACTGTAATTGTACTCCACCTAAATTATACTGGTTAAATAGGTAAAATTAAACAGGTAAAACTAAAATTTTAATCTAGTACTAAGATTTTACTAACATTTGCAAAAGTTTTCAATCTCTACTTTTCAGCTTCAGGTGTGTGCTATACACCTAGTTCTTCTAGGCTACCCCTGAAACGGTCCATTTCTGAGTCAAATGTTAAGATATCATATGAATAGATTTGGTAAACTAAATAGGAAAATATAAAATGGGCACTTATAATCACTAATTTTTTTATATTATATTTCTTAAATATATCTATTAAATAGTTCCAGAGAATTAAGAACTGTCTTTTCTTTGTGTATAACTTCTCTATCTATCTATCTATCTAAATATATGAAAAAATACAGCTGAAAGAAATTGTTTTCTTCATGTATTTATGCTCAGGAAAATAAGAATTTTATCTGTTGTATTCAGCAAACTTAGAAAAGAGAGAAATTTGGCCACTGGGATATTTGAGCATTAATTTTCCATTGCACACAATAATGAAGTAATAGAATAATAATGCAGTTATGCAATGCATTATCTCAGTATAATTTTTATCACATTATTAATATCATTTTCCTATTCATACTCAACTATAAAAAAACCTGAATTTTATTGCTCTGACAAAACATTTATTTCATATATTAAATTAACAATAACTAGTATTAATCAAGAGCACATATATATTCTGATCATTTTTAATAGTGATTCTTTTAACTCACTGCAGGAAAAAGCATTTTCATCCATGTTGCAGAGATACTAGAAATATTAAAAATGCACTGATGACATTAAATTCTTAAAATGTTGCTCCAAAATAACCAAAATAGCTTTAGCAAATGATCTTGAAGTTGTGCATCATTACTCAGAATCAAAGAGAATTAAGGAAACTTAACCTTCAATTGGTAGTAAGAAACTTAATGAGCCTCTTTCCCTTCCTAAATTACTGATAGCCTAAATTAAAACTCATTTAATAGTCTGTGCAGGAAATGTATATAAAAGTCATAAAATCTATTATTAAAAATCCAGTGGCTTTATAAAATTAGTCATTGGATAAGAGAACCAGGGTTTACAAATGTGGCAGTGGCCAACCACAAAAAAATGAGCATATAATGCAATTTCTATTACTGCTACAAAATATTAAAAAATGTATCTTATTTATTTATTTATTCAGGACCTTGACCTAATGCTAGCTCATCAGCCGATCCAAGAAATCTCACATCAATGGATGCAATAGGTACCTCATATCTCTTCAGAACACTTGTTGATACTATCAGGAATTTTAGATATAAACCATATACTATTTTAAGTATTTTTTTAAATCAAAAAACTTTTTCAATGTTTTAAGAATACCAGACCCAACATTGTGTTCAAAGATTGCAAAAATATAAACCATAGTAAGTTAAATGTTTTCTCACATAATATTTGTGTCAATGCTATAAAATACTAAAATCAACAAAGAAACAAATAGAATATTGCAAGTAATTATTCAGATTTCAACTAATTATTCCATTCTGGAATGACATAATGGTGGAAAAGCCAGTGGCTAATACCTAAAACACAAAGTCAAAAAGAATGTATTGATGCCATAAATAACTACATATGGAATGAAAGATGCAGTTTTATTTTTATTTGCAAGAAACAGTATTTTTAAAAACAGTTCAGTTCTATCAGTACTGAGAGGTTGGTCCTGGGGTTAAATTACTGACATATCATGACTACAGAACTAGTATTTTCATCTGAAGGTTATATGATCTAAGGTAAACCAAAGTAAATGAATGCATAGTCCTAAATACTGTTCTAAATTATCAGTTTTATTTTTCCATTATACAATCCAGTATGCTACTGAAAACAAAGCATAAGGGATTGCTGAACAAAAGCTAATCTTTCAAGATGGAAATAAGACTTGATTCTTGAGTGTTAAAGAGTAAGGAATGAAGAAAATGAGGCAAATAAATGAGTTTATATTCCATGTTCTTTCTCAGACATTACAAAGCCCTGTAGAATAATTGGACACCTAAACATAATAACGTCACTACTAAAATCTTTATTAAAACTGAATGGCATTCTGTTTGTCTGAAAAATGGGATATCACCAAAGTTCAATTCTATCTGCTGCACTGAACAGAGAAACCATTTATAAGATATAATGAAGCAAGAATCTCTTTAAAAATACATGAAGGGCAAATGTGTTTTCTTTATGAGCCTCACAAATTTGATGCACGTTCTAATTTCTTTCTTTTGTAGCTTCCAGGGTTCCATTGATCTTGTGGCGTGGGAGGACTGTTACGGTATGAGTCTGTTACCAGAAGCTATATGACAGCATTAATTAAGTTGTGCTTTGGGAAATGAAAGCAAGCAAGATGCACATTTGCCTTTCTACCAATAAATGCTTAAGTGTAGCAATGTTCAGGATTTCCTGGTACATTAATCAATTTGATTTTTTTCTTTTTTTGTGTGTCTTTTATTCTTTATTTCCTCCCTCCCTCCCTTCCTTCCTCCTTTATTTATTTTGCCTTAGTGATGACTTCAACATCTGTAATACAAGGACAGTTAAAAGGGAAAGATATTAGACATGGATGTACTACAATCCCTCATTCATAGAGAAACTTAAGAAAAAACACATACAGTAAAATTGAGTTTCAAGAACCATTGGGGCACATAAGCAATTTTCTTAAATAAGTTGTATTTATTATATGTGTGGGGTTTTGTTTGTGTTTTGCTGGAAGAAGAGAAGCTACTCTTTATTTACAGGTCTCATTATATGAAGGATCATTTACACTGTTTTGAGGAAGACGCTCTCTCTTCACTTTTGCCTAAGTATCTTTCTTATGTTCTTACTCTTATTCCAAATGAGCTTAGGTTTCATGTGCCAAGTTGCCTTTCTTCAGGAATATTTTCCACAACCATTTTTTTTTAATGAGTAAGTTTAAAGATTTAAAAAAAACAAAATTGTACAGAGGGAAAAGGATAAGGTTTAAACTTCTTGAGTATGCTGGCCCAGTCCTCATTTACCTCTCCAATCTTGTATCCAGCCCTTCCTCTATATCAAACTATTTATAGACTGCTGTTTTCCTGTGATGTTCCTCTTTGTATGCTGTTTTCTTTGTCACTTTTCATCCCTTATCCCCTGGAAGATTCGTACTCATTTTCAATTATTATCACATGTCTCCCTTCCTAAACCTTCTCCACTTCTCTAAAATGAATTAACCTTTCCTTTTTTTTTTCTATTGTGTTTTGTTTATATATATGGCCTCTAGTTGTACTGTGAGTTCCATGAGGTTAGGGCCGACCTGGTCATTCATTTTTCAGTAAATATGTTTGTTATAGTTGTTACTGTTTTACCAAGGAATAATTGAAACAAATTATTTCCCTATACTTCTTTTCAACTTTTATTTACTAAGTGCCTATTGAGTGTCAGAGCAGGCAATGCATTTTGGTAATATTAAAACAGTACTGAACAAGAAAAAAAATGCCTGTCCTCTAAGAACTTCTAGTTTATAGTATAAATCTTCCATGCTCAGTCATAAATTGATTATTTAATTTGAAAATGAATATTTTTTTGTATTATCAAGTATATAAAATATTGAAATTCTGTATAACTGATAACTGGTAGGAGTGGATTTGAAGAGAAAATTTAATTACATTGGCATGTCTGTATCACTTAAATGAAATACTTTAATTATCAAAACTAAATACATTACTTTTCCTTATTTAATAGTTAATTCACTCACACTAATGTTACATTTCACTTAGTTCTTATTTGGATTATGACATTCTAGCATAGCTATCTCTTTTTCCTGAAATTTCTAATTTCACTCCATTTTTTTTTTGTTTCCTGATTGTTTATATAGTATGAAGTTAATTATCCTTAACAAATCACTAAATTGACACAGTGCTTAATAATATACTTCTTAGAAGAACAATTCTAGGTAGACTTCTTGGGCTTTAGTAAATCTATAATGCATAGATTTTCTTTAATTGAACTCTTGAGGCCTTTCCACAATTTATTGATTACTTGAGGTTTTTTCTTTTTTTCTGGCTTTGCTAAAGTCTATCTGCAAATAATACTTCTTAGAAAGAATACAGACTTTCTTAGTCTTTGAATTCTAAAACGTATTATTTTTCTCACACTTGATTGATAGTTTAGCTGGGAATGGAATTTAAGATTCAAAGCTGTATTCAATGAAGACATTGAATAAAAGTATTTCTGCATTTTCTCTATGTATTTGCTTTTGCTGGGGAGAAATCTGTCACCCTTTTCTACCATACCTGCCTGAATTTCATCTAAATCTCCACATGCACTTATATCTAGGAAAAAATCATATATCTCATATGTTTTTTCTTATAGTGCCTATAATGGTATTTCTACTGGAATAGGTGCTCAAAAGTTGTTATTGATAAGATGCTGATAATATTAATGAATTATTGTATATTATTGTTTAAGAAATAACCACAAACCTTTCCCATACCCTCTCCTCCTTAATTGAATCTACTCAGAAACCTGGTATTCATTCCTGCCTTGCTTACACATATAACTCATTCATTTAATTTGTTAATATTTATTAAGCACTTTCTGCATGCCAGGCACTATTCTAAGAGTTGGGGATAAAACAGTAAAAGAAAAACTCCTTACATGACTGAGCTTATTTTCCAGTATCCTAGCAATAACAGCACTAAAAAATCTTGAATTATGTATGTCTCTGCATCTCTGTAGTTGCTGTGGGCTGAATGTTTTTGTCCCCCACCACCCAAATTCATATGTTGAATCACTAATCCCCAATGTTATGACTTTTAGAGATGGGGTCTTTGTGAGACAATTAGGTCGAAGACAGAGCCATCACAAATGGGATTAGTGCCCTTATAAGAAGAAACAGGCATAATCTCTGTCTCTGAAGAGAACATAAAGCAAGGAGGCATCTATCTTCAAGCCAGGAAGAGGACTCTCACCAAAACTCCCTCCTGCTGCCACTTCTAGCCTGATTTTGAACTTCTAGCCTTCAGAACTGTGAGAAAATTTCTATTGTTTAAGTCATTGTCTTTGGTAGTGTTATAGCAATCTAAGTGGATTAAGACAATAGTCATTGTCATCTTACTCATACTACTAAAATAGCCTTTTACATATTCCTTCCTATAACCAGTTCCAATAATCCTCAGACTTCACTAGAACCTACAACTCATTACTCTTGCCATCTTCTCACTATTCCTATTCATAATTCTCCTTATTTTGCTTAATTTCCGTGCTGATCTTTGTTATAAACCCCTAGAATATGTCCTCACTACTCTTCTACTGACTTGTCAAAATCTCTTGGCCAAATCATAGCCCTGGTTAAAATTCATCTCCCCACCAGTTCTGCTCTTGGACCCATGCAGCTGAGCATGGCTGGAAACAAACACACAACTCTAGCACTTCCACACTCATTGTCTTTTCCTGCCTCCCATAATGTTTACCTGTTCAGGTGGTAAAGTTCTTACTTGTTTTGGGTCTTTCATCTAGTCTGTTCTCTTGTCCTGGAATCTCCTGCCTCACTTTCCATAGGACTATTGCTCCTCATTCTGTAGCTCTCAGTTCAAATCCCACTTCCTGAAAATCCCCTCCCTGACTGGCATTTTAAAATAATATATATATATATATATATATATATATATATATAT